GTAAAACTAGTGAATACCTACCTACCTACCTACCTACCTAATTTCGAGTAGGTAGGTATCTATAGCCGTATACATTTTTGTAAGTGAGCTCCAGCTCCTCTAAGGTATGTCCATGGTTAATAAACCACTCATTGTTACCTATTTGCCAATTTATCAAATACCTGTTAGTTACCTATATTTTCTGTCTTTAAAACGATTATTCGCAACTACCCCCTTATTGTAGAAACTGCAAGTCAGAACGATAAAGAAACGAGAAAAATTGGTAGAAACTCGAAATCATACAGTGTGTAAAATTAAGCATGTCAATAAAAATTGAGTTTGCAAATAAAATGAAGGTTTAGTTTGAGTACTGGTTTGAGTTGAGTGTCACGCTCCCAAAAGCCTTAAAATGGACATTTCTTTTTTAATCGATACAATTCTTAGACCTTCCGCATATAGATTTTATGGGGAAAGTCTAAGAATTTTATTGTTGTAATTCGCCCCCATTTTGAGATATCTCCCAACATTATGGATATATGGATTATAATTTCGTCTTCAATTTTTTCTTGAGCAATTAAAACACATAAGAGGGAGGATACAATTGAAAGGTTTACCTAGATACTTCTTTCGGATCATGCAATGTTGCAACCGTTTTTTTACAAAATTCCTACCACAAAATGGCGCAAACTTAAACGGAGATGCGAAAAAATTTCTGCCCCGCTGAGCTTGGGTATAGGTATCTATCTTTGACAATCAAAATTACGCAACCAAACGGTTGTTGAAAATTAAAAAAAATTGTGCATATAACTTTTTGTTTCAAATATAGGTAGGTATATAACAGTTTTGTTCTCAAATGTGTACCCACTAAATATCATGAAAATGTGACCATTTCGTGGTGGAAATTAACTGTAATTTTCTTTTCTAATTGAAAATTGGAAAAAAAATGATTATGGACTGGTTATTTTCACGTTGAAAAACTCCCAGATAGGTACTAAGTTTAATCGACATCGAAATTTTTTTCGCTTCCCCATTTAGGAGCATCTTGGGTTAGGAATTTGGAAACCATTTTTTAATATAAAAAAAGGCATAGCTAGAGAAATCTGCAAGTTCCATTGTTGCTGTTCCTATTGAGAAAAATTTAAAGAACAAACTCAAATTTGGAGACATTAGAACGTAGTACATGAGACTCGTCGTTTATTCCAAAAAATGATTATTTTATTCCCCTCCACCAATGAATGCTTTGTTGGCGTATAGTAAGTTGTTACACCCTGTGTACATTGCATGCTATTTGTCATAATTGGAACAGTTAGGATGTAATAAAAAACGAAAAAGAAAGTAAGTAACGCATACAGGCTATTCTATTACTACATTTTTATTCACATATTATTTAGAGGGATGAATTTTTTTAGTTTTTAAATGGGCACATAGAGAAATAGGGAGTAGATCGTTATACCTATTTGAAGTAGGTATATTTTCGCTATGGTGAATGTAGAGAATTTAATTAGCTCTAATCTCATATGATGAAATAATACACAGGGTGTTTCATATAAAAAAGTCGCTTTTTTGTTACAATTTTTTGATTACAGATTTGGATTGAGTAGAAAAAAACTACACAATTTTGATAATTTTACCGTCTTTCTAACTCTTAGAAAAGTTGGCAATAGTGCCGACTTTGAAACAGACTTTACCTATATACAAAGCGCGCGTCCAGTGGCGGCGTGAAATCTAGTTTAATAGGTATAGGTATATTAATTAATCCGAATGTTTCCAATACCTACAACGAACCCAAATATGTTTTAGCTACCCTACTACTTTATTTTTATTTTATATTCTTATACAGGCTGTTTCACGCAAACCGTTACCTAGAAGTTTTTAGATTCTCATTGATACATATTAAATCTGAACATTCGCATACCGACATAGTTTTACAGGATCTATCGAAAGAAAATATTATCATAGTTGTTTCACTTCCGGTTGTACCGGGTGTGGATAGAACCTTATTTTAAAAGACCACCCTGTATTTCCTTGCATTTTCGAAGCATACATAAAAATTTACGATATTTGATACCACATTTCTCAATACCTTTCACCTTTCAAGTTATTCAAGATTTTTTAACATTTTTGACGTTTGTGGAAGTAGGTACTTATCACTAATATGAACCCAAACACGCCTCAAACCCAATTTTAAATTTTTTGTAGATACCGCGTTTTTATTAGGGATGGCAGAATGGTACAATGACATCTACTAACGCATTTATTTCAGGGCTTCCTAAAAAAATTATGCATAACAGTCACAATCTTAGAAAATCTAAAATAAAAAGAAAAGCATAACAGATAGGTAGAATTTTTTTCCACATTTGAAAGTGCAAAAAAATAAAGGTTTGATTTGAAAAAATCAACTTTTAAAGTTGTAAATTAGTTTTAAAACGCTCTGTAGAAGGGTGATCAAAATTTAAATCATTTTCGTGTAGCTCAGTATTGTTGATTTTGGAAGACTTTTTGGCTTTCAAGTCAACGGTGTCGCAGGTACAGGGCCCTAAAGAAAAGCAGTCAAACGTCTTGAAAACTTTTGATGCTGAGTGTCGGTAGGTATAGGGAATGCGCTATCAAACGACGTAGATTTGCATGTTGATTTCGAAAATGCGATAAGGTACTAGGGTGTTCTATTTAAAATAAAAAAAGTTGCTATCCATATCCGCAGTAAAACCGGAAGTGAAACAATCATGATAATATTTTCTTTCGATAGATCATGAGAAACTATGTTGGTACGAGTGTTGGTATGCAAATTTTCAGATATAAGATTAATGGGAGTTTTACTTTTAGGTAGCCGTTAACGTAAAACAGCATGTAGGTAGGTATATATAAGCATTACAGCACACGAGGCAAATGACGTCCTTGTTAAATATCAAAACGCTGGAAGAAGGGAAATAATCGTCAATATTCTTCTTGGTTAAGAAACTTACCTACCTATATAGGACCGTTTGACCATTTTTGCAAATAAACCTCGAAATAAACTGAATCTTAAATTTTAAAAAATTCAATGTCCCTTATTGCAACAAATTTCAGATTTCTAGGACAATCCTCAGTAGGTACCTACCTAGGTACCTATAGTTTAAAAGCGCAAAATGCACATATTTTTGATAGGAAGCACAACATAGGTAATCGCCATATTTATTTAAAACGCGTATATAGCTCATTTACCTACTAATATTTGATTTATAATGTAGGTAAGAGAATAGATGTGCGTGCCATTTAATTTTTAAATTTAAAGGAATTGATGATACCTATAGGTAAATTAGATAATTTTCAAGGTAGATAATTTAAATGCGTTTTTTATGGTAGCAATGAGACCGAAAAGATCTTTTTGGGAGCATTACAAATACTTATACATTCCATAAAGATCGGTTACACCTAATTCTATAATATGAACCATCTCTCAGAATTTCAGTTTGTCATGTACCTACACTTCTCTTGGGTTGCCATTAAAAACCGCTGGATCAGTACCATGCTAGTAATAAATAAAATTTTCTGTGATACAAGGAATGCAAACAGTTTAGAAATTTGCAGTATAAGTAGGTACCTACCTATTTATACCTGTAGGTAGGTAGGTCTGCTGTTCAAAATATTTAGCGTTATTTTAAAATCTGTTTAGATTTTTGTATTATGGAAGATGGGTAAGGTTACTTAGTACCTACTTGTTTATACTAGGTACTGAGGTAGCTACCTACTGTTTATAACTACCTATTTATCCTGCGCCGAGTCAAAGGTATAGGTACCTAACGTACGTATAAATAAATTGACCCAGAAATAATCATATAGGTATAGGTATCATTTTTAATTATGAGACATAATAATCAAATTGTTTGATTACATAACAAAAATCGCAATCTTATACTTTCTGACGAGGTTCAGACGATTCTCTTATAACGTTGTCCCTATAGCTTCCAAGTACTGATCAAAGTGAAACTATAACTAAAAACCTTAATTGAATGACAAACAAACATAAAATTTAGATGCATTAGTCTTTGAGCAGCATGCATTGCTGATTGACAAAACAGCACACTACGGAAAGCTATACCCACATGTCGAAAATTAGGTAAAGATGTAGGTATCTTATAGCTACAGTATTGTTATGCATGAACGAATTAATTAAGTTTTCTATGGAAAAATTTCAAACATCAAATTCTTAAATCGTATAAGGACCGACACATTTCGAACTTACTGCAGATGAAATTACACCTACCTACATTTATCACTGCATACCTACAGGAAACTAATGCAATTATTGAATTTCGTTCGTTTTTATTAATACATCGGAAAGTTCGGACACCTAAATGCAAATTTTAATTCATAAACGTCGACCTATTTCCATTGTGTTTAGTATTCTGTATAAGAATGCCTACTTATTTTTTATTATATTATAGGAAACCTTATTCAGATGCGCCATGCACAAATGCAGCTAATTAAAATCTGTTGAGATCTTTAGCTTATTGATTTGCAATGTGTATTGTGGACCGATAAGTAGGTACCTAAACGTATTCAACTGAGTAGGTAATTGTGCTTGAAATTTGTTTATACGTAGGTGATTTCGACGTATCTGTAGGTGTTTGAATAAAATGGGATCTTAATTTAAAATTTGCATCAATTTAGGGATTCATTTTGTAATTAATTTGTTTTTATTTAAAATATTCCTGCCAATTTGTGAACAGAAAAGAGTTCCACTAATTAGAAATTTTTAAGCACGAAATGATGTGGTTTTATTAATTAATTATTGCTCGCTAGCTTGTGTTATAAAAATGCCCGCGAGGCATAATTAGTAATCGGTCACGTAATTAGTGCGAAAGCTCTCCGCGCACATAACAGCGCCACGCAGCTTTTATCTCCGCCTCGTGATACTGAGCAGGCGCCCGATTGGGCGTGCAGAATCATGGCAGGCGTTTCTGTCAATCAGTGCGCATGGTGGGGAGTACAAAGAATAGACCCCAAATTCTGTAGAATTCATAACATAAACTTGAGTTACGTGGAAGAGCGTAGAGGTGATTGTTTGGTGTTGTGATAGTGTTTTGTGAAAGCCATCAAGCTGTTCGCGCCGACGGAAGACATGTTGACTATGGAAACGGACCTCAAAGGAGGTAGTTTACACGCGACGATGCCGCCGCATCACGCTTTGCAAACGTACGGCTCCTTAAGCTCGCTGGGGCAGGCGCCCATGCAACATTTAGGACAGCATCCGCATCATCAGCTGCACCACCAGCAACAGGCACCCCAATTACACCATCAGCATCAACCCCAAAGCCATCATCAGTCACACCAGCCCTCCCAGCATCAGCCGCAGCACAACAACCCCGCGACAAACAATAATAATCCTAGTAGTAAGAATCAAAATACGGATCGCGTGAAGCGACCGATGAACGCGTTTATGGTGTGGTCTCGCGGTCAGCGGCGGAAAATGGCACAAGAAAATCCAAAAATGCACAATTCGGAAATATCAAAAAGACTGGGAGCGGAGTGGAAGTTACTTAGTGAAACAGAAAAACGGCCGTTTATCGATGAAGCGAAAAGGTTGCGTGCGGTACACATGAAGGAACATCCGGATTATAAATACAGACCTAGAAGGAAAACGAAGACTTTATTGAAAAAAGACAAATACCCGTTGGGCACATCCAGCTTGCTACCCGGTTCCGATCCGACGAGGGGCGCAACGTCCGTTGTTCAACAAGCGGCAGCGCGAGATATGTACCAGATGCCCAACGGATACATGCCCAATGGTTACATGATGCCCGACCCTTCGAGTTATCAGCAGCACACTTACGGTGGCGCAAACTACCCCAGGTACGATATGAGCCAAATGCAACACAGTGCGTATATGAACGGCGGTTACGGTTACGGAGGAACTGTGCCCAGTAGCGCGGGTTCGCCTTTTGGCATGCAACACACGACAGGGTCGTCGCATAGTCCTTCTGGATCTAGCATCAAATCCGAGCCGGTGTCACCGAGCTCGGGGTTGCACACCCCGACGCCGGGAATAAAACGGGAATTTGCAACTAATCAACCTCAGCAAGGCGACCTCCGACAGATGATCTCCATGTATTTACCGACGGAAGGTCAGCACATGCACCAGTACAATCCGTCGCCGGATCCTCTAGGACCCGGGCCCTTAGCACCTCTAGCGCACATGTGAGAGCCGTATTTTGCGGCACCGGACTTGGACGTGCCGCCGTTGTGAACGTGTAAATATGTTAAATTTTTTATTCACATATACTTTTATTTCCTCGGCGAATAATCTTCTTCGGTTCCTTAAACCAATTGCAGTATTCGATTGTTGTATTTAAACCACTTTAAGATATTGTCTGATTGGATGCGATCGACCAGGTGGGTCCTTTTTTTACATTTTTAGCGTCAAATTTATTTTTTTCCAGTTCTGAGAGTAATTTAACGTGGTTTGAACAAATTTTCTAGGTCGTTTATTACGTGATGTAAATAATAATTCTAAGGACCTTTGTATGATAAACTTTGGTTTCGTATAGTGATAATGTTTAAGGAGATGATATTGTTAAAAATGTTGCGCGTTGAAATTTTTAATGTAATACACATTTTCTTAAAAATTACCATTGCCTCTCGGCGATACCTGATAAGGTTAAGTACCAAATATTTGTATATAAAATTAGTTCACACGAGAAATGCGAATTTGACGCAATGTGCCGCAGTTATCGCTTCAAACACAACTTTTATTTTAAAGCCATAAATGCTCAATAATTTTTGATTACACATCTTTTTTACCCAAAGGCACATTGTCGATAACAATCCCCATCCCATTATAACAACGTACCATAATATTTACTATACTCACACCAATTGTTTGTACAAATAACCTTGTTTTAATTTATTAAAGCACCCGGTGGTCTTGTAAATATTATGAAAAATTTTGAACAAATCTTACATTTTCAAAATGATATACCTATTCGCAAATTTTTGTTACGTTGTTATTCGAGAAAATTCAGATTTGTTTGAAACTTTATTATAATGGGCAGAACTCAAAGATATCACAAGCTTTGTACATAAAACATTTTTTTTTCAATGTACAGTGTGTTAATTTAGTCATTGGAACGAAAAATGTGAATATATGAGATTGAAGTTACTTCAGAGTTTTATTCAAGTGCAGCGCCTTGTGTTATATACTCTGTGCGTGTGTGCCCGAGTTTGTGATATAGGTAAATTGTGAGGTAAGTCATTTTTTTTTCAATAAACACATGGTAATTTTCAAAATTACACCATTTTAAAAAATCTGCAATTTGTCACACGTGCCGTTAAATTTATGTTATGTAGGTCTGGAAACCATTAATTCACATTAAAACCCCCGATTACATAATTTATGAAGCGTAATTGAATAATCTTGCCAGAACGTAGTGTACGCGCGTTTTTATCGTTGTAGATAAAATTTAAATTGAATTTTAATAGTTGGTATTACCGAAAAAAAGTGGAAATAAAGGCAATAAAGCGTGATTATGAAAGCAATCAGAAAGCAATGTGGTAATGCTTAGAAGAGGTGGATTCAGGCAATCTGCACCACAGCCCATTACCCTCATCAGCGCGCGAGGCTGAAAATTTAATGTCTTCCATCTACACGCAATTGCACTAATGTGTTTGTGTATTTTCCTGATTTCATTCCAAAAATTGTCGTTTAGTCGAGATGAGATTTTCTAAAGAATTTAACAACATTAGCATTTAATTCGCATTTTTAGTTTTATACGATCAGCGTCCATATTTTACTAAAAACTTTATCCCCTTCTTTTAAAGCCACACAACCGTTGATGTGATCACATATTTTCATTTTGCATTTCGGAGTAATTCTCTACTCCCTAATATAAAAGTCAGTATGAATATCTCTATAATTATATCAACGGCATAAACATTTTCATCCCTTTAACATTTTCTTTGTATACCTATAGGTAAATACAATATACCTAAATTTCAAACTTTATTGCCGACGTTAAATTATCTGCATTCCTGAAAACGCCGTCGCAGGTGACTAGAATGTGCCTCTATTTGATTTTCACCATTAGTATCAGTTATTACAAGATAGGTATATCATTAGATCGAAGATCTGATTTAAAATATAATTTCAAATTTAATCTCGGTATTTGACAAAACCAAAAAATTGACAATTTAACTCTTTTTGGCGAGCACAATAAAAATTGTTCAGTAATTTATCATTATTTAAACTTGTAGGTACACCGGTATAGTACCTTCACTTTTTTGCAAACAAACAACACACTTTCATGAAAAAACAAAGGTGACCGTCTAAAACTTAAAAACTTACTTACAATTGGGGTTGTTTCTTAATACCAAAAGGTTCGTCTTAACAAGAACACATTTATAAAAATGAGAAATTGACGGTTTTCACGGTGGTTCCCAAAAAGTCAAAGGAAAAAAAAAACAAAATGAGATTTAAATTTAAAAAGATGGTATTTGATGAAATCAGCTCAGAATTCTCCAAAATTTTGCTAATTTAACTTTCTTTCTATCTTATCGGAAAAGGGAAATCCGAGGTATAGGTACCAAACGTACCATCACCTCAAAATTACAGCATTCACGACTATTTAATTAGGTACTCTAGTAAACATCTTAAACGAAGAAACCAAAAGGCATTACATCAGGTAAGTGAATTTTGCTTGTCAATTACCTACCTGTAAATCTTTTGCAAACACAAATTAGTATGATTCAGTGCAGAATGCTTAGGTATAATATTTTAATTTCTTCATTATAAAGGTGGAAATGGAACAACTAGGATCCATAGTTGTAATAAACGATTTTGTGCCTTGATACTGTTTATTTGTTCTAAGTTCTATATTACTTACTGAAAACACATGAACCCTGGTGGCCTTTAAAGTAACAACTGAAACAAAAACTCCAAGAAAGAGATTTGTATTTTTCTCTTTTAATGGTCCGCTGATAACTGACAACCTTATTGCTACCGAAACGCGTGCTTTTTATTAATGTTTTGTTGTATTTTCCTGGGGTCAGCGTCAGTTGTACCACAATAGTTCAACGTCATTTCAGTTGACTGACATAATTAAAGAACTTGGTTGTTCAATTTTTTTTTTTACTAATGAATGCAGCTAACTGTCGTGGAACATCCGGTACTATACCTGCGGTCATTTGGCTCAATTTTTGTTTCTGCATTACTGAAACTGTTCAGTAAAACGTAGTTCTGCGTTCTATAGATTTACCTAACTGTCCTACAAGGTAATGCAGATAAAATGTCAAACTCTTATTTGTCCACTTTAACGAAGGCAAAAATTTGATTGAATTACCTACTTCTTTACTTCCAGAGCGTTGAAACATTGCAGAAATTAAGGATCTAGACCTAGATTTATTTCCTCCATTATTACAAACATGAAACAGTTCACTTTAATTTCTGCTACCTAACATGAAATATTTACGCGTATAGCTCTGTTTATGGTAAGTCATGTATTTATTAAGTTAATAAATAGTCATGATTTCCTTGAAAAGCTGCATTAACATTTAATTATTTAAAAATTTCGACAATTTTTTAAACATTCTGAACTGAAAATGCAAATTTTTAATTTATGGGCACACATTATTATTATTTTTATCTTTAATTCGATCATGCTATCCATGGAAGGATGAGAGTATACCTACCGCTGATATACATACTATTTTTGTTTTCTCTGCCTCCTCTGGACATATTAAATATGCGTTAAAAACATTTTCAGTGATTTCGACTAGTTAAAACGATATAAATCCAGAATTTTACAATAGATCCAATTACATTTAAATCCAAAGAATTACATCCTTTTTCCCCTAAGAAGATCAAGGTAAATCTTTCTATTTTCATGGATAACTAGATCTAAATGAAAATAATTGAAACCGTTTGTGGAAAATTTAATAAGCGGTCATACTATATGATGTACTTAATAATATACAGAGCGTTCCAAAGGTATAAAAAGTCGCGTATTTATTATTAGTGGAAAAATACGATGTTGACTTGCAGATTTGGATTCTGTAGAAAAACACACAATTTTCTAACTCTACAACTAATAATATTGTATAGTAATAGTGCTGACTTAATTTGAAGCAGACTTTTAGGTATAGGTATATACTCTTTCGCTTATTACTCGTAGGTACCTATACATATCTGGAATTTAAAAATTGTGACGGCAATTTATGGTCAGATACCTACAGCATTTATGATCATTTTTTAAAGAATTTGAGAAAGACATCGAAAAGAGAAACCTTTTAAGTACCGGACATTTTAGTGAAATATCTTTAAATTTTCTCTAAATCTGAAAAATAGCGGAATATTCAGTCCATATGCTTATATCAAGTAATTTTAGTCTACACTTGAAATCAGGAGTTTGTGGCCCTGCGTCTTTGATTTGTGAATCAATTTTAGAAAAGTTCTTTCATCGATTTAGCACACTTAATATAGATGTTATAGCGTTTTAGCGTATGTCTGAAATTGATTCAGAAATCAATGACGCTGAACCACAGACTTCTGATTTCAAGTGCAATGTAGTGTGTACTTGATAGGTACATGTTATGAAGATCAATAATGTAGAGTAGGTACTACACTATCTACTTACGATTTAAAATTTAAAAAAATTGCATAGTCACATGTAAACTGTACCTATAAAAATAGTTGGCAAAAACAACCACGCAATTGGTGTGAGTATTGGTCCAATTCCAAACTATTACTAATCAATAATTAATCATTGATGGACTATTGTACAACTACTTTCATCTCTAAAAAGGGCAAAGAAAGTGTAATTTTCCTCTCTAGTGAGAGAAGTAAAAACCAATTGCTGCGTTAATCTTAATTTAAAATTGAAACATACCCGTATCTAGACTGCTATGTGTCAAACTTTATTATTGCATACGATAATTTTTCAATTTTGATTGTAGTTTCAGAAAAAAATTATGTGTAAAATTTGAGAAAAAAGTGGTTTTCAATTCTCGGCTACGCTCATGTCTCAAACTTTGAACTCGAGTTGAAAAACTCCACTTTCTTCTCAGTTGTACAAATAACTATTTATTTCTTCAGTCATAAAATTTGAGGTATATGACGTACCTACCTGGAAATTTAAACCTGGCCCTTCAAGTTTGCTCCATCATTATTCATAACAAACCGGTTCTCGCTGTGATTAGTATCTGCGTTGTAGTTATTTTCATACAGACAGGCAGACAGTAAGATTAACACTAGCGGAAGTGCTTTAACTACGTATCAAAGATCAAAGGTTCTATATTCCCGAGCTCTCGGATTCAGATAAATCGAAAATTGAGCTCTCAGCTCTAATAGTTTGTTTGTTGGTTTGTGTGTCCTCCTCTCAACCATCTTGAGTTTACTTTTATTAATATTTCTGTTATTTTAACATTTTTACATTAACTGTATTTATGATTGAGAAACGAATACAATTACCTGTCTTGTATTCATAAGAGAAAGATAGGAAAATATGGTTTTTGAGAACATTTAGGGAAGTGGTCTTTTTCTTAATCTACAATGGTTCGATAGCACGATATCTCGAAAACGAATGGACCGATTATAATAAAATTTTGCAGGTGGATTCTTTGTCAAATTTGTAGGTCGTGAATTGGCAATGTAGTCCAAAAATAAGGAAGTCCCTTTTAATATCTCCGTTAGTTATGAACCGAATTGCATAAAATGCGATATGAGCATAGTTTTTTAGTCATATAATACGCAAACCAATACCTATAGTCATAGACAGGAGCTCGTTTGCTATATTTGTTTAATTTATTATGATTATCGTGTCATAGTGCTACTTCATAGATTTCTAATGCGAAGACACTTTGCTCA